CTCAAAGAAACAGCTAAGGCGGCAGACAATCCGAGAGCTAGCCCAACAGAAAAGGACCCGGATTTCGAAATGTTCTCTCCTCCTCGGGTGTCTCCAGAGCTAGAGAGGAGGGGCTACACCGTCAGTAGGGCCGCTGATCTGAAGACGGGGTGGGACCTGAGGCGTTCTCGCGAAAGAGCCAAGATGTGGCACCTAATCAGAGCCGAGAGACCTGAGATAATCACTATGACCCCGCCCTGTCGAGGGGTCTCAGTGGCCAGAATGCCCAACTGGGACAGAATGGACCCTGAGAAAAGAGATAGGGTCGAACAGGAGAGCATATTCTTTTGGGGTTTGGCCGTGCAAGTTGCTCTCCATCAGGTGTCTGAGGGAAGAAGGTTTTTGATTGAGAATCCTTTCGGGGTCTTTTCCAGACAGCTGCAGACGACCTTCTCCTAAGGAAACCAGGGGTTCAGGAAGTCCGGGGAGACCAATGCACTTTCGGGCTCAGGACCCTTGACGGAGGTCTGGCGATGAAGCCTACCAGGTTCATTTCCAATTGCCCGGAAGTCCTGGGAAGAGTCAGAAAGCTGTGTCCCAAGACTCATGTCCATTCCATGCTTACCGGCGGCGCCAGGACATCAGCAGCTGAACGGTTTCCTCCCGGACTGGTGAGTGCTCTTGCCGAGGGCATTGAGCTGGCGATCTTTGCGGACCAGCTAAAGCCCTCTTTTCCGACAGCCGCTGTCGACCCTCTCGCCGATCCTGAGGCCCAGGAGATAGAAGATAGTGAGTCTGAGAACTAACAGGAGACCCGTGGACCCAAGGAACCGCGGGGACTTGAGGAGACCGAGGTCAAATTTTCCAAGGAAATCCAGGACGAAATCATGATATTACACGTGAATCACGGGCATCCCCGCTGGGGACATCTTGTTCGTACCCTGAAAATCGGAAAGGCGAAGCCAGAGGTTGTTCAGTGGGTGTCCAAACACGTCATGTGTTCCAATTGTGAGTCCAGCTCTCGTCCAGAAGAAAAGCTCATCTTCCCCGCGCCTATCGATTCAATCAGCTGGTTAGATCTGTTTTATGTGCAGGCGCTAGGAGAGATGCTTCCAATTTTGAATATGATCGACCACGGGTCTAACCTGCAAGTCTGCTGTCGTTTAACAGCCGCTACGTCAGCAGAGGTATGGAGCGCCTTCCTCCAGCACTGAATGAGACCCTTCGGGATACCTAAGACGATGATGACAGACGGGGGGATGGAGTTTGCCGGAGCTTTTTCAAGAGGTCTGGAGCATGTAGACACGTGCCAGCACGTCTGCGACGCAGTCTCCCTGGCAGAACGGGAGATGCGAGCGACATGGGGGCATCGCGAAGATGGCCCTGTCTCGCGCGGTGTTAGGGGCTGAACCCACGTCCTCGGGGGAGTTCGATGACCTTCTTTGCGAGGTTGTCTCAGCGAAGAACCGATACGCGCACAGAAGAGGTTTCTCCCCATACCAGATGGTGTTTGGAGAGAATCCTCGACCCGATCCCGGCTGTCCGACGAGGCGTATGACGAGGTCGGGATCGGAGACGTCATCCGGGGCACCATTGACGCTAATTTCCCAGCCAGTGCCTTCGCTCGCAAACACGCCCTCCGAGAGGAGGCCAAGAAGGCCGTGATGGCCATGAACACTCGTGAGAGACTGGCTGCCGCCCAGAAGGCCAGGAAACACGTCGACAAGATCTTTCCCCCCGGGGGCTGGGTGTATGTCTGGAGACAAGGTGGAGGGGCCCAAGACAAGCAAGGGGGGGATAGAGTCAAAAGAAGTAGGTGGACCGGTCCGGGGGCCGTGGTGTTTCAGCAAGGCACGACAGTGTGGGTCGCCATGCGGTCCAAGCTGCTCAAATGCAGTCAAGAGCAGATTCGGTGGGCCACGAAAGACGAGTCCTGGGGTGCCGAACATTTGGATTTCCCTGCGCTTTCCGAGCTGCGCCAGACTTTGCAGTCTCCCGGACGCAGAGTAGGAGCTGTCGACGTGGAGGCTGAGGGATCGCCCCCACCTGAACCTGGAAGAGAGGATAGCTTCCGAAGAGCCAGCTCCTGTTCGAATGGCTCCGTCGGAGCCTGAGCCACCCGGAGGAGAGGCCGAGGTAGGAAATGTTCCACCTCCGCAGCCTGTCAAGGAAGCGTCCACTGACCGACCAGTTTCGGTGGGCAGCAGTGGCCGATCCTCTCCTTTGCCTGCTTCCAGTATCCTAGATGTCCCGGAGGTAACGAGGGGAGAGAGGGAGATTCAAGAGCTCCTGGACGACTCTCCGAGTCCAGTTTCCGAGCCGCACACATCTGAGCGACGAGAGGCTAGGGATCCTATGGAGCCGCCTCCGGTTCAAAGACCGAGGCTCACTCCTATCGAGGAGGCCCCAAAGGAGCCAGGCCGGTTGAGAAGTGCCGTCCAGAAGAGGGAAGAACAGGCGATAAAAGAACGCTTGCAGCATGATGTGCCGCTCTGCTTCCGCCGCACCGATGGACAATCGAGTACCGAGTCCAGTTTAGGTCAGCCACGCGGCTGACCACACGAGCGCCCAGA